TCATGTTTTCTATAATCATGAACAGCATTACCCCACTCTTGATGAGGCTTGAAAACTAAATTTAATATTCCAGACTTATTGGGAATACTAGCACCTAGCAAAGTACAAGGAAGACAGTAAGCTTCATCTTCTTTGCTAGAATAAGCTAACCAAGAAAACTGGCTGAGTCATTCTAATTTAAATGATCTTTTTGTATTAAAAGATATTGGAAAAACAAACATAGAATTAGGACAAAATACTTTGTTTACCATATCTAACAAAATAGAATCATCTTTGCCAGCTTTTCCCCGAACAAGATATGTTGAAACTTCATACAAAGAATTTGATTCATTATAGGAAGGAATAATAACTGAGTTGGAGTCTAATGACTTAGCTAATTTTGAATCTACAGAAGGTTCAAACAACTCTATGAAAGCATTGTCTTTTTTAAAGTTAATTTTATATTGAATTTTGACATGTTTTGCAGAATCAAGTTTTTTTTTTTTATTTGTTTCAGTTTTAGGACTAAAAAAGTGTAAAGGATAAGTAGCATTGTTTTTTATAGCCAAATTCTTATTATTACTAGAATTTAGTTGAGACTTTTTAATAATTGGTACAAAATAGTTTGGTGTCCAGTAATTATTATTTTGCATTACTGACATAATATCAGTATTCCACCATAAAGTATTTAAAACATTTTGATCTTGATTTTTAATTGAACGAAATGGAAAAATAATTGTATTAAAATGTTTTTTGAATTTTTCTAACCCAAAATCAGGATAAATTGACCTAATAGGAATATTTAAAACTGATGACAAAGTAATAAAACATAAAAATGAAGAAAACTTGTTAGCTCGGCAGTTGATCAATGCTTCCATTATTATAATTTCAGAAGCTGATTCACTTTTAATTAATTTTAATTTGATCTGAATATTCAAAAGAAACTACTAGAACACTGGAAAGATTAGAAAAATTATTGTTTTCAACCTGTTTAACAAAAAGGGAGTACCTCGCATAGTAGGAAGCTTTTTCAAACAACTCAATCGAAGTTAGAAGCCTCAATACATTAACTATCTTCAGAGACGAATTGCTTAAAAGAGAAGCTGAACTGTAGAGGCAATTTCCATCTTCAGATGATCTTAAATAAAATAAAAAGTATACTAAAACAATCTCAGTTTATATTAGTTTCTAGCTGAAAATATAAAATATCATTAACTTTAATAATAGGGTTTTACCTTAAAGCAACATAATCTTTAGTATCTTCTTGCTTTGGGATAAAACAATCCATTTCAGTATTTTCAGAAGACTATGTGGCTGAACTGGACTCTTGTTATTTAAAACTTTCAATTTTTCAGTCAACTGGTTTTTATATTTGCGAATATTTGGCGAATGTCTAGCCTTAATTGCATTTGAGACTAAAAAATTCATTTTTGTTTTAAAACTTTAGTTTACAAGGGAAGTCCAACAATGAAAATTATGAGTGAAGAACGTATATCAGGCGGCATATCAGATTTTTGTAAAATTTGAATGATTTGGAGCAACTGATGCAATTGTTCTAAACTTTCTACAAATTTGATTGGTTATAAATAACATTTCCTATCTTTTTTGAAACATTTTTTAAAGTTTTTTTCGGAAGGTTTGAGCAACTGATGCAATTATTTTATTAAATAGTGATTGGTTTAAACTGTTTTTTAACCAATCATTAATGATTTAGAGTACAATTGCATCAGTTGCTACAAAGTGATCGGGAAAAATTTGTGAAAAAGTACAAATATGATTGGTTTAAGCATAATTTTTTTTTTTTTTAACCAATCACATTTGTATTTAGTGAAGAACAATTGCATCAGTTGCTCCAAAACGCAGGAATTTTGTCTAAGTAACAAATAAGTAACTATAGAGATCAAATAAAATCGAGTTTAAATAAATTTTTTTCGAGTTTAAAACAAGTTTTTGATTTTTTGTGAATACCAGATTCTAATTTCTACTTTTACTTTTTATTAAGACAAAAAAGTGAAAAAGAAATACACTCAAATTTAGCGATGCATCAGTTGCGACACCCTGGATCCGCCCCTGTATATATATATATATATTTGTATATATATATATATATATATATATATATATATATATATATATATATATATATATATATATATATATATATATATATATATATATATATTGTATATATATATATATATATATATTTGTATATATATATATAATATATATATATATATATATATATATATATATATATATATATATATATATATTTGTATATATATATATATATATATATATATATATATATTTGTATATATATATATATATATATATATATATATACAGTCAGCGAAATTCGAAGGATTTCAGGTCGGCACGCTTGTGCCGACCTTAGCCAACATCAGGTCAGCAAAAAAAAAATGGATTTTTTGCTTTCTTTTATGATAGGGGTAATGATTAATTGATTATAAAAGGATTGCTTTATAATAACATAGCTTCAGACAAAAGTATTTTTTAAGAATGTAGCAATTAAATTTTGTGCAGTAAATTAAGTATATAGCAAATTTATGAATTAGTGGTTTTTTAGTTTTGAAGTTGTTTGTTTTTTTTACAAAAAAAATGGTCATAGTTTATTTATTACATTTTAATTGGTTTTTTAGATTGCTCATAGAAAGAACGTTGTTTAGAAATACAAATTTAGTTTATGTGCTGTAGACGAAGATTTTGCTTAAAACTGCAAATTGTTTAACAAAATGAGTAGACAATTTACATCCAGTTGTTTAACCTCTACAAGAAATAAGCATTTAGTTCTCCAGTAGTAGGGGTGGTGTTTTTCAATATTTAATTATAGTATAGTATTAACTTGTAACTATATATAAATTGATGGAGTTAAAGCGATTGTCTTATTAACGTATTTTCATAATTTACTCATTATCAGAATTTTCTGTCCAATCATCATCAGAAATATCGCTTTAATGGAAGCCTTAACTTCTATCAAATTAAAAAAAAGTTTTGTCACTAATGTTTCTTCTCCACATGTGTTTAACATAACTATAGTAAGGCTAAACTTTCCTGATATACTTTCTGATCTTAAATAATATTATTTAAGATCAGAAATGGCGCAGTGGTTAGGGTGTTTGCTTTATAAGCAGGAGATCCAGGTTCAAAACGAGTTCTGGACATATTTTTGCATCACAGTAAGAAAGGAAGCGAGAACTTTTTGTTTAAATACACTACCGCAGTGCTCTGTGACAAGACTGTTAGGTCTTCTTATGGCAACTAAAAAAAAAAAAACTGTAAACATGTAAATTATTTTATTAGTTAAATGGTTTTAACTAATAAAATAAATTAAAATTAGATTTTATAATTTAATAAAATAATAATTGCACTTAAAAAAGCGTGAGAACAACAGGCATTTAAAAATTTTTAAAACTTGCTGTGCTTGAATAAATTTGAGAAAAAAGGAAAAATGAATGAATTTTTGTTTTAATTAAACATGTCAAACTTGAAAAGCAAGTAATTACAATAAAAAAATTATAAAATAATATTTAACGAATATTATATTTTTACATGTACTTCAATTTGTATGCCGACACTTTAGAATATAAAGCAAAGATAAGTCGGCTTTTGAATTGGGATTGCCAAATGCCGACCTGAATTTTGCTGACTGTATATATGTATATATATATAAACATATATATATACATACATACATACATACATATATACATACATACATACATATATTATATATATATATATATTACATATACATATATAATATATATATAAATATATATATATACAGTAGAATCCCGTTAACTCGGACTCCGAAGGAGTATATATATTTATTGTGCGACTTTGCAAATGTCCAAATTAAGCAAAGCTCTCGCTAAGTCAGACTTTTTGAAAATGTCAGACTTATTGAGATTTTAAGACTTATCGAATGTTCTTTGATATATAAACAGGTTTAAAGCATTTAAACCTACTCTTCCAATTTTATCACGATTAATTGCTTTACAAACTTCTTCAGTCGTTGGCTTTGTCACCGTTTCAGCTGACGTTTCATGCTTTATTCAAATTTTTGTTACATACTTTATCCAAATCCTTCTTTAGGGAGACATGCATCCGCACTCTTTTCACAGAAGTTTTTTTATTTTTTCAACTTCTGAATATATTATGTTTGTTTTTTTTGACCATCTAGACAATGTTTGCTTTAGAATGCCATATTTCTTTGATATAGTTAAAGATAATTTTCCTTTGTTGATTATCTTTATTATTCTGTATTTTTCTGTTATAGTTCTACTTGATACCTTACTTTGAGCAACTGTTGTCATTTTTAGTAAGTAAAACTTAATCAAAGTATAACCAAATCGAAGATATCATTGAAAATGTTTAGTTCGTTAAATTATGTTTGGCGCAAAGGTAATTAATTTTCGAACGTTTTAAGTTTTGAATTTTAATTGATATTTTTGAGTTTTTAATGTAATAGTTACTAACAAATAGAATTTAATCAAAGCTTAACTGAATCAAAAGATCTCCGTAAAAATGTTTAGCTATGTTTAATTATATTTGACACAAGAGTATTTTATTTTCAAGCGTTTAAAGTTTGGAATTTTTATTGAAGTATTAGAAGTTTTGTTATTGTATGCACTTATATGCAATTCAAAATAAAAATCCTAGTTAAGCGAAGTTTTTTGCCAAAGAAACCTCAAAAAACAGTAAGAATTAGCAAGTGGTCTAACTAACCAGGGTACGACTTAAGCTAATAATTTTACAGTAAATTGATAAAGAATGTTCAAGGGGAACTGAATTTCCGTCCGAGGTCTAGGGTCCGAGTTAATGGGATTCAACTGTATATATATATATATATATATATATATATATATATATATATATATATATATATATATATATATACTACTACATTAACATTTATTAATATTATTTTTTTAGTTATATTAAAAATTTATATTTATAGCCAATTAATTGTATTTTATTAGTTTTTCTTTTAGCCAAAATTCATTCCGAAATTCATTGCGTAAGTGTTTCACATTTATATTATTTTATTACTTTCTAAAATTTAAACAATATTCTTTATCAGACATAAAAATATGCTTTATCAGACATAACAATATTTATCAGACGAAACACATAAATAATTTTTTTTTTGCAAGCCTTAAATCATGTGGTTTACAGCTGTTGTGTTATATAATTTTCCAATTCAAAGACAAAATTTACTAATCCAACACAGAAAATTTGTGGCTTACAATCAATTTATTTTAAACTTTTTTACTGATACTTTTTTAAAAATTTGTTGGTATTTAAAAAATGATTTCTTATCTCTTAATGTAGTTTATGAAACATTTAATGGATTCATTTATGACTATTAAATGTGTATTTATGTATATTAAATTATTTGCTAATAAATTTTTGCTGTTGCAGTAAAAGCAGTAAAAACCAAAAATTAAATAAGAGTTTGATTTCAATTTTACTATCATTGATGATTTGAATTCAAATTATTCAAACTAAAGCATTCATAATTCTAACATTACTTAATTTAAATAATCATTTAAAAATCAACCCTAGGTTTTATTTGATTGGACAAGACATAACTTGTACTCACATCATTCATGTGAAATTAGTGACAATAGATTGTCTATATTTTTGATCAAATGTTATATTTTCTTTATTTTGTTTATGATTGTAATCCTATTGCTGCCTCTGCATGGTAATTTAAAAAGATTTACTCAAGTTTAAATTAAATCTAAAGGTTTAAACTAAATAAACAATTTTTAGTCTGCAAGCTAAACATAATTATGATGTTGTATCTGGTACAAGATATGCAGGTGATGGTGGTGTCTATGGTTGGGATTTTAAAAGAAAACTTATAAGGTACTACAATTATTGCTACTATTACCTTTTTATTTTAAAAGTTCAATAATTTTAGATGATGCTAAAAAAAATACTTCAGGTTTAAGAATTTCTTGGTTTTAATAAGTTAATTAACAAGATGAGGTTTTTAATTTTGCTATGCATTCTTGATGAATATATTTCCTTAAATTCAAGACTTTTTGATTGCATTCATAGTTAAGGAACTTTGCTTGCAATTTAATCAAAAAGCTACTTCCCTTCACTCACACTTCTTAATTGAATTTCTTCGTGTATAAAACTGTTTGACTTTTTTTCTTCATAGTTTTAGTTTTTAACTTTTAAGATTTTTCAATAATTTTTTCTTATATTTTTCAATCAAGTTTCTTGTTTATTTTTTTGCTTACCAGGAATCTATTATATTTTCTTTTACATTTTGTAATAATTTTTTTAAATTTCAATGTAATGGTTTTTACTTAATGCTAAGGTTTTAACTAAATACTTATTTTCATGTAATTATATATGCTCAAAGATATTGATATTTGATTATTTTATGTTTTTTATTTATTTTATTTTTTTTCAACATGTTTTTGCCTCTTCTTTTATATATATATATATATATATATATATATATATATATATATATATATATATATATATATATATATATATATATATATATATATATATATATTCTTTTTATCTAGTTTTTATTTGTTATGCTTGTTTAAGCAAATATTAATGACAACAACGAAATATTTTATTTTTAGTCGTGGTGCTAACTATGTCACTCAAATTCTGTTACGTCCAGGTGCATCGGATTTAACTGGAAGTTTTAGGTAAACAAAAGTTTTTTTAAATAAGAACAAAAAATAAACTTTAAATTGATATTCGCATTAAATTTTTCTGATTATTATGTTTAAAAAAACACTAAATATTTTCTCTGGTATTATATTAATTGTGGTTTTATCGTTTTTTTGATATAATGTTGCAAGAATGTTAAAAAAATTTTTTTTTAATTTATGAAAAGCAAAATTATCTAAGTGCATGCATTGTCTGAGTACATACATTGTCTGAGGGTTAGAATTTGGCAAGAAATATCTACCTAAGAGGATCATGCATAGATTTTTACCCAAATTTTTAGTATAAGTTAAAAAAAAAGTTTTTTTTAATTATTTCTTTATTTTTATATTTTTGAAAATATCTCTGAGTTAAAATATTTCTGCATTTTAAATTTTAAAGATGCTCTATCTATCTATCGATTTTTATCTATTTATCGATCTATAGACTTTTATCTATTTATTGATCTATCGATTTTTATCTATTTATTGATCTATCGATTTTTATCTATTTATCGATCTATAGACTTTTATCTATTTATTGATCTATCGATTTTTATCTATTTATTGATCTATAGACTTTTATCTATTTATTTATCGATCTATCGATTTTTGTAAGTAACAATAATAATGGAGACAGTGCTAATAACTATCTTTAAAGTGTTAATAACAAATTTTATTTATAAAATTTGTTGGAAGATAATAAATGTAAATAATACTAAAGTAACGGTAAAAGCAAGAGCTTATAAATATGCACCAGAATGTATGTTCTGGTGCATATTAATTTTTGTTAGAATGTCAGATAGTATTGTACTGATCTTTTTTAAGTTTTTGAATTCTTTATAGTTATATTTTTATACTTTTGTATAAAATGTATTCATTTTTAAAATGTTTTACTCAATACATATCAGATCTTTTCAAGTGTTTTTTTTTTTGTTTTTTTTTTCTTTTTTGTTAGCATTGTTTGCATTGAGCTGATTTTAAGGAGCTTTTTTATCTTGTACATTTTGTTTGAGTGCACACATAGATATGGTTTTAGCTCAATCTGACAATACTCATTGTTGTTTCTTAATTGTGATTTTATGCTTTTTTTCTTTATAATTTGAAAATGGCTTATTCTAGAAACATGTTTCAGGTCTCATTTTGTTCCCTAGTTTATTACCTTCAAGTAGTATCATATATTGCAACTACAACTTATAGTTTCCAAAAAATTGCATTTTTCTGTCAGATTTGGGAGTCTCTAGTCAAAGCAAAAATGAAATAAATAAAGTAGTAAATAATAAACAAAATTATTATTTGAAAATTAATATTATAATAGATTAATTATTCGAGAACTATTTGTAATCTTTAGAATTTATTGTTATAGAAAGTAAATAATTTTATTTAAGCTTTTAGATTGCTCTACAAATGCTGAAACATTAACAAAATTATTTATTTGTATTATTGTAGTGTTTTTAAGGAAAATATTAATCAAGTTATTTATTGTTTTATTGAAGTGTGGTAAGGAAAATATAAATCAAGTTATTTTTTGTATTATTGCAGTGTGGTAAAAAAAAAAATGAACCAAGTTATTTATTGTTTTATTGTGGTTAGGAAAAGAAAAATAGGAGAGCTAAAAATTTATCATTAAAATGAATTTACTTTTTTGATAGTTACTAAAACAAAAACTATTTTATTTAAAATTAAATTTAAGGTGTTTAAAGTTTTGTTAAGGCGACTTTTGAAAACCTAAAGTGACTTTCGAAAAGCTTATGTGACTTTCGAAAACCTGAAATGACTTTCAAAAAACTAGGGTATTTGGCTTAGCATTCAGCTACTACTTGCATTAGGTTTTGTGACTGATCTTCATCTTTTGTTGAAAAAAACATGAAAATTAAGAATTTTAAATTTAATTTTAAATATTTTAAGAGAATAATATCCTTAAGTTATCTAGTGTGGTTGAAAACTCCTAGAATTGAAAAACCGTTTTGTATAGAAGTTATAAAACAAACAGAAAGGATATGATATCGATTATTGATATTATTAACCTGATTTTAAAATAATCTTATAAACTATTGGTATTAGCAAGATATTAACTTTTTTTAAGTATCATCGAAAGTTTACTTTTTGAGAATTACTTTTTTTAGGCAAACCATTATACTTTTTCACATTTTTTTTTTTAATTTTCTTTACAAATAATTTAAAAAAATTTGTTTTGTTTTCTTAATATTACATTTTTAGTGTTTATAAAACAGACAGGTTTCTCAATGAAAACTACATGTTCAGGGTTGCCACTCAACCTGGAAAACCTGGAATTAGCATGAATCCCAGGGTAAACCTGGAAAACTCAGGGATTTTTTTTTTTTAATTTAATATTCAGGGAAAAATTTTTTCCAATTTTGAAAATAATTTTTATTAAATTATTAACAATAATTTAAGTTATGATAAATTCGTAATATATATTATCATAATTTTTTATGAGAATATAAAATTGATGTTAATTTTGTATGGTTTACTTATTTTCAATATTAAATTTGAATTTATATTTTATAGTTAAGTTATTTAATTATTTTAAGTAGAATTTTCATTATGGGCTTAATTAGGAAATACTAAAATACTGAGTAAAGTTTGATTTAATAAGTTATATAAAAATGTTTTATATATAAATTTATAATCTTTCATCATTAAATCTATAAATATATGTAATATGGTTCTAAGAAGAATGTATTTTTTTAAGATTTATTAATAATTAAAATGGATCAAAGAATTTTTTCAAATGATTGGCTTAATCACCCAAAGTATAAAGAATGGCAAAGTATAAAAAAAATTGTTAAGACTGACAACAATAAAGTTGCTAGATGTAGCAGCTGTTGTAAAACTTTTAATTTGTCCAACATGGGAGTTCAGGCAGTTAAGAGTCATAATGAAGGTAAAAAGCACCAACTTAATGTTTTAGCTAAATCCAAAAGTCACTTTTTCAAACCTGTTGTAAAACATTCTACTATGACACCAACACTACCCATGGCAGTTGGTCAAAAAACTTTAGAACTTGTTGTTACTTCCAATGAAAAAACCAGATCTGAAATAAGATGGGTTCTTGCAACTGTTATGAATGGATTGTCAAACAATGCTTCTGCTAATTTGAGCGAATTATTTACTAGTATTTTTCCAGATAGCAAAGTGGCAAAAGGATTAACATTAGGAAGAACAAAAATAGGATATATGATTAACTATGGACCATATTTTAAATCATTACTTCTTGAAAGTATCAAAAATTCGCCATGTTATGTTGTCTCATTTGATGAAAGTCTAAACAAAGTTACACAAAATTGTCAAATGGATATTGTTGTTAAATTTTGAAATACTTTAAAAAATCAGGTTTATGTGCGATATTTGAATTCAGTTTTTCTTGGCCATTTTTCTGCAGCGCATATTCTAAAAAGTTTCAATAAAGAAATAGAAAGTCTCGATTTTTCAAAAATGATCTAAGTATCTATGGATGGGTCTAATACAAATTGGAAATTTTTTAAAGAACTTTCCATATACCGAAATGAGTGCGAATTAAATTCTTTACTTGACATTGGGTGTTGTAGTTTGCATGTAGTACATGGAGCTTTTAAATTAGGTTCAACAGCCTTCCTCAAAAAGTTTTTTTAATGTTCAAAAAGCATAAAATGACTTCCTGACAGTTTCAAAGTTACAATTTTTTAGTTATGTTGCCAGCTTATTTAAAACCTACTTGATACTCTATCAGACTGATCAACCAATGATTCCATACATGTACACTGATCTTAGAGAATTGATAACAAATATTTTAGCTCTATTTATTAAACCTTCAGTAATTCAAAGCTGCAAAAAAGTGACTTAAAAAAGATAAATCTCTATAAAAAAGAGAATTTGCAACCGAGAAAAGATGTTATTATTGGTTTTGCGGCTGAAGTTTCAATTAAAGAATTCCTTGTTAAAGATAATATAACTCTTAATGATATAAATCAGTTTAGAAATGAATGTGTTTTATTTCTCACAAAAACTATGGAAAGTTTACTTAAATGCATCTTGCTAGACTGTGCAATCATACCAAATGCAAGTTGTTTCGAACTAATCAATCTCAAAACATTAACAATTCAATCTAATCAAAATAAACAAAAAAGATTGTTACATTATCTTGTCAGTTTAAAAGTTATATCTGCAACACAAAGTGATATGTCATGCTTCAGTATTCAATATTTTTAAAAAATGATATGAAAATAAATATAAAACAATTTCTTAGCTTTGATAAAAAAACCACTCGTTTAGATATCTTCTATTTTCATCAACTAGATATAGCCAAACATAAGTAACTTTCTTATATTATCAAAATGATTTTAACGGTTAGTCATATGTTATCAGTAAAGTCAGCCAGACAACAGTACCAAATCAGTTTAGCAGAGCAGACGAATTTAAAGAAAGAGTCAAACCACCAAAAAGCAATCATATAAGAAGAAATTAAAGAAGTAGAAAAAAAAAGAATTTACTTGTAACAGCATGTAGTACATTAAACTTTGTTTATATGCTGATATTCAATCTGTCGAAGATGCTGACAAAAATGATTTAACAATGCTTAAAAAAGCAACTGCTTTAAAAAGAAAATGCGACGAAACAGAAAAAGAATCAAAAGAGTTAGATTCAATTTTAGAACTGTTAAAAGCAAAAAAAAAATTTATTGATAAAGTTTGTAAATAAAAAAACTTTTTTTTTGTTTAATTTTTGAATAAGTAAGTAAAAATTTCATTATTTAATGACTGTTAGTATGTTTAGAATCTACTTAAATTATATGTGTGTGTATGTGTGTTTACAATATATATATATATATATATATATATATATATATATATATATATATATATATATATATATATATATATATATATATATATATATATATATATATATATATATAAATATATATCTTTTTTGTAAAACACACAGAAACCATAGAAACAACATCAGGGTTGCCACTATAATTTTAAAAGTTTTTTTCCTGAGTAAAGTACATTTTTCCCTGATTTTAGTTTTTTAAAATCCCTGAGTTTTCCAGATTCAATATATATATATATATATATATATATATATATATATATATATATATATATATATATATATATATATATATATATATATATATATATATATATATATATATATATATATATATATATATATATATATTATATATATATATATATATATTGAATCTGGAAAACTCAGGGATTTTAAAAAACTAAAATCAGGGAAAAATGTACTTTACTCAGGGAAAAACTTTTAAAATTATAGTGGCAACCCTGATGTTGTTTCTATGGTTTCTGTGTGTTTTACATAAAGAGGTTGGTTTAGTTTTTGGAGTACGCTGTAAATATTAATTCAACTAAGTTATAAAAATCAATCATTTCAAAAAATTTAAGTAAAAGTACAAAAAAATTATAGTATTATATTTATATTGCTCGTCCCGCCTATATTTATATAATATATATAAACATTTCATAATGAAACGTGCAAATTTACTTTAAATGCAAAATATTTACAAAATTTAGACTGTACAAAAAAGATGTCTTGCTTCGATTAGTATCATCATGTGTGTCTAAAGGATACATCTTTCAGATGGAGATGATTATCAGAGCACGTCAATTCAATTATACTATTGGGGAGGTATATTATAGTTTATTATTTTTTTCTAAGTAGAGACATTTTATTTCTAACTTCAATTTTTTGTGTGTTTTACTTTTCATTTATTCTCCTTTAGGTACCAATTTCGTTTGTTGATCGGTTCTATGGGGAATCAAAACTAGGTGGAAACGAAATATACCAGTTTGTTAAAGGACTTTTATATCTGTTTGCAACTACCTGATATTTCTTATGTTTTATAATAAGTGTCATTTTCGATATTTATAAAATATATATCTGATGCAGGGGTTTTTTCTCCTTTGGCGATTTTTTTCTCCTTTGGCGAAAATTTTTTTGTAAATTTTTGCGCATACCACCCCAAACCCCCCCCACACACACACACACACAAACCAACCCACCCCACCCAATCTCCCTAACCAGTCTCACAACCCCATTCTCTTTCATGCACGACTGCTTTCAGGTGCCAAGGAAACGTTCTCTACACATTTAACAATTGTGAATTAAATCTATCCGAATTCATATTTTCAAAAAAATTCTCCCTTCCCTTTATTTATTATGACCTCACTCCCTGTTTCTTGATACACTAGAGTTTTATGATTAAGTCAAATTTTTTTTATAATGTATGTTAAAAATCCTTACTAAATTTGGGTATTTTTTCTATAAAAAATATCCATAAATTTAAATTATATCTATATCTCATTCTTGAAATCCAAAGTGTACACTATTAATTGTAAAACAATTTTTATATTTAAAATTAATTTTAAAATTCAGAGAGAAAAACTTTTCCAAAACTTCTTAAATTCAAAGATAGCGATGTTATAAAAAAAGAACTAGTTGCTGAAACGTTTAATGAATTTTTTATTAATATTGGTCCGTCCTTAGCATCAAAAATTGAACCCTCTAAGATCAACTTTGATGTATTCTTAGTCTCTAATAAAACTAATATTATGCCTAACGATATTCTAACTCAAGAAGAATTATTATGCGCAGTGTCTTCGATTAACCCCTAAAAAAGTATAGGTGTTGACAATATAAATGGTAACATCATTATAAATCATTATATTACTCATTATATAACATCATTATATTACTATTATAAACTATTATAATACTATTATAATAATTTATTATTATATTAATTTATTATTATATTATTATAATAATATTATTATAAACTATTATTATATACTATTATTATTATAATATTATTATAAACATTATAATACTATTATAACATCATTATAAATCATTATATTAATCATTATATTACTCATTATATAACATCATTATATTACTATTAGTTATAAGTGAGATTTTATTTATGCTTTAGTTCGCTTATATTTTTTACTGAGTTTTTAAAAGTTTTTTTTTTTTTGTTTTTTTCTTTGCTTAAAGTTGCGTTAGCACCTGTTTTCTGTTTTTATGTTTTTTAATTTTCTGAACAATAAACTAAATTTTTGCGCTCTGACACAAACTAATATTAGTAAATTATAAATCCATACATTATATATAAGACACATAAAAAAAAATTAAATATAAACATATACAAATAATATAAAGAAATTAAATATGATAACACGGAAAAAAAACACATACTGAATCTTTTTAGTCCCTGTGTAATAAGTTAATTATGATAATAGTAACAAATAAATTTGTAATAATTGTAACAAATAAATAAACATAAAAACATCACTGACATTAAAAAAAAACAAAAAAAAAACCATCTGTGATGACTAATTTAACACCAGCTCAATTAAAGTAAGTCGAGGACGCAATTAAAAAACTTATTTATGCTGAAACTGCGAAATGGTCGGCCAAAATATCTGAACTAGAACAAGTAATAAAGCAACAACAATTAATAATAGATAAGCTAATCCAAATGAGCAAACTAATACCACAACCAGTAATATCGAATCCAGCTGGGTTACTGTTGCGAGCAAGAACATAAAAAAAAAGCCTATTGAACAACTAACAATTATCAACACATTTGCCATTAAGCAACAGCAAAAAAAAGAAGCGTGAAAAAAATGTTATTATTTATGGCATTAAAGAATCTGCAAAGTTATCAGTTGCTGATAAGCAGATCGACGATAAGGAAACGGTTCAGAATATCTTAGTTACTATTTCATCTGATGCAAAACCAAAATCTGTCAAACGTATTAAATCTACGTCCTCTAAACCAGGACCAATTATCGTCGAACTTTCTGATGTCTCCGAAAGAAACCCATTATTAACAGCAGCAAAAAAATTGAAAAATTCAGATAATTATAAAAATGTTTTTATAAGCCCAGATTTGACTGAGACTGAAAGATATTTAAACTATCAGTTAAGAGTGAAGCGTAATGAATTAAATAGTAATATCAATTTAAAAATATCGCCCTTTAGATACGGTATACGAAGCAGTGGAGTCGTCAAACTCAAAAATATACAAACCACTACATAAACATTACTACCCCTCTTCCACTCTTTTACCAGCAAACTTAAAATACAAAAGTAAAAATCTTCATAACAAAAAAACAAACTATAGCGTTAATAGCGTTAATTGTTATTATACTAATGCTACATCTCTCGATAATAAAATGGCCGATTTAATTTCAATATCTAGAACGTTTGATTATCACGTTATCGCTATCTCTGAAACATGGTTTCGAAATGACTCAGTACCAAATATCGATGGGTATAGCCTATATCGTAAAAACCGTCAAGATGGACGTCGAGGTGGCGGTGTAGCTATCTACATTGCAGACGTATTTAGCTCTCATGAAGTTAACCAATTTTATACAAATCTACTCGAACAAGTCTGGGTATCTGTAAAATTTAACAACAAACATATACTTATTGGTTGTAAATACAGACCAAATGATGCTAGTTTAATAAAATATGTCGCTGAATCCTTCAAATTAGCTCATAGTTTAATTAAAAAGCCCTACGATGACTGTTTGATTGTCGGTGATTTTAACCTCCCGAATATAAAGTGGTCTAACGATGGTATTATATCTTTTAACCCAACAATCCTACCGAGTATGATTTCTGGACTATTTTCCAAAACAGCCTTTTTACACAACATATCACATTTCCTACTTTCCAGACTGATTATGGTTCCTCAAATAATATGTTGGACTTGTTATTTACCTATAACAGTAATTATATTTAAAACTTGTCTCCTAGTACTATACTAGGTAATAACACTAAGGGTCATTTTAGTATCACTTGGAGATTTTTAGTTTCAGAACTGTTCACCGAGAGTGAATCTCAATCGTTTAATTACAAAAAAAGTGATTACGATTCAATATCTAACTTTATTGCATCAATCGACTGGGAGTTTTTATTTCTGCATAAAACTGCATATCAAATGTTTACGATACTAATTTCTAACAACCGCACTGCTTGCACATACTTTATTCCATAGATTAATAAAACAAAAAAAAAGTATGATCCTTGGGTTACCCCACATATTAAAAACCTGATCCGAGCAAAAAAATCTGCTTGGCATATTAACTGCTCTACCAAATGGGAGAATAGTGAGCTTAAAATAAAATACAATCGACTTAATCGTTCAGTAAAAGCTGAAATATTTAAAGCAAAAAAAGATCGAATTCGCTCTCTCAAAAATACTTCTAGAAGAATTATTGAAGCTCTTCCTGATATAGTTGATCTTCTGAACTCTCAATTTGAATCTATGTTTACACTTGAAAGCTCTGAAAATTTTCCTTTGCTAAATAAAAGTGGTATTCATTCTGAATGCATTTATAATGAAAACTTGGATTTCTCTATCCCAGATATTATTCAGGAACTTGCCGATCTAAACCCTTATAAATCCTTCGGATTTGACGACCTGCATCCCTTAATACTCAAGATATGTTCCAAAAGCTTTGCAATTCCATTAACAAAAATCTTTCATGAATCCTTTAATTCTGGAGTAGTACCAAGTCAATGGAAATTAGCAAATATTAGTCCGATCTATAAAAAAAAGGGAGATAAATTACTCGCTGAAAACTATAGACCTATTTCACTAACCTCTGTTGCCTGTAAAATCTTCGAAAAACTTGTAAAGAACAAAATTTTAAAGCACATTAACGGTAATAAAAGGCTCTCTGCAAATCGACATGACTTCCTTTATCATAAATCATGCGTAACTAACTTAATAGAAACTTTTGATATCATTTCGTCCTCCATAGCATCCCACCAATTTATTGATTTAATCTAATAATCTATCTTGACTTTGCCAAAGCGTTTGATTCTGTACCTCACAACAGACTTTTGTTAAAATTAAGATCTTTCGGAATAAACGGCAAACTCCTACAATGGATTAAATCCTTTTTAGTGGGCAGAAAGCAACGCGTTACAATTAACAATACCGACTCTGCATGGGTTGATGTTCTCAGTGGTGTTCCTCAAGGTTCTGTTCTCGGCCCGCTCCTCTTCATTCTCTACACAAATGATCTCGCAAAACTCACTGAAACTTCTGAGATATTTGCCGATGATACTAAACTTTTTTCTAAAACCTTATCGCAATCTAATTTTGTTGATCTGCAGGATCGTCTACACTTGGTATACGAGTGGTCAAACATTTGGTTACTTAAGTTAAACACCTCAAAATGCTGCGTCATTCATTACGGTCGAAACAACCCCCATTACAATAACTTTCTGCAAAATAACCAAGGAATCAACCAATGTCTAAGAAGCTCTACTAAAGAACGTGATTTTGGAGTCATTTTTACATCTAACCTCAAGTGGAGCGCTCATATTCAAACAGTTGTCTCTAAGTCCTTACAAATTCTTGGTATGCTGAAAAAGATATTCACTTTCATTGATGAAAAAATGGCTCTCAAATTATATAAAGTATTTATAAGACCACATCTTGAATATGGAGTGTCCATTTGGGCTCCTTATTTAAAAGCTGATATGGCTTTGGTTGAATCTGTTCAACGCAAAGCAACAAAATTTTTAATCCATCATCCAAATTTTTAATCCATTATCCAAATTTTTAAATTAATACATCGTTTTGATATTGTTAATGATAAATATCTACCAAAATATATTAACTTCATGTCTCGTGGTCACCATTCTAAAATAAGGTATGAGTATGTTCCAAACTGTCTTCAAAAATATAATCATTTGTATAATAGATCAGCAAAATACTAGAACGAACTACCAGAGCAAATAACTTTGTACTCCACTGTACTTTCCTTCAAAAATAGACTAGACTCCTGGTTGTGGAATAAGTTTGGAACAAATACTTATAAAACTGGTTGTTTATAGTGGGGTGTTTTCCCTGCT